AGTTTCCAGGTTATGGATATTGTCCCCGCCTACAACTATTTATAGGGACAACCATGGATCCATGAAGCAGGAGATGTTACTTCAACTTTGCACCAGAAGTTGAAATTTGTTTGTGAGGGGAAGATGGTCATTATGAACGGTGAGCAAGCTCTGTTAATATCTCATTTGTCTTCTTTTAGCATTGTAGAATTTGACAAAGCCATTGTTGGGACTCAGTTCCAAGCTTTGTCTATTGATAATATAAGGAAGAATGAGAATTCTATCGCCTCATTTAAGGATGCACATCAAGTAGTGTAGAAAGGCCCTAGCAAGGTATATGGCAAGTTAACGATCCTCCTGTGAACAAGAATGGCATTGGTTTGGGTTTCGCCATGAATAAAGAAGTTATGAAGCCGAAGTCCGCTTTGAGTAAATATCAAGATACCTTCCGCAGTGCAGGCTATCTTCATCCAACTATCATGTGTATGTGGCCGAAGAATAAGAATATGATGAAATCCCAAAAGAGATTTCACGGTTGCTTGAGTGCGAGGAAAGTACCATTCATCCGTATAATGAACCGTTGGAGATGATTAACTTGGGTTCAAAGGAAGATCCAAAGGAAGTCAAGATTGGAGCACTGCTTCACTCCGACGTGAAGAGCATGTTGATTGAACTGTTGAAAGAATGTGTGGATATATTTGCTTGGTCTTATCAAGACATGTATGGTTTAGATACTGATAATGCGAAATTATATCGTATATTCGACTTGACTCACATGCATTTTAGTTTCATTTTCATTCATTTTTATCTTGTTATGCCAGTATTTCTATTTCATTTCAGGTATTTACATTCCATAAGACTTGCATGAGAAAAGAGGAAGAAATGATAAAGAAATGAGTTAAAAATGACTTTGTAGCAGAAAACATAAGGAAATTTCATGACAGAGGATTGTGACGGTCGTCACAGCCTCCAGCCAGTCGCCATGCCTTGGAATTATGTGTGCCCCTCGGCACACACGTGTTACAGTTACCACAACTTTGACTTGTGTGCCCCACGACACACAAGGCATTCCCCTCACCACAACTCTAATAATGCAGAACACGTACTTGTTTACTCCACTTCACCCATTCATCCTATGATTTTCTCAACTTCTCCGACCATGATCTCCATTATCTCCAATTTCTCTAACTTCCCATTATCTCCATTTTCTCCAAATTCCCATTATCTCCACTACTTCTCACATGAATCTTAAAGTAACTTCAATTAGTTCTCACTATAAAAAGGACCGAGCATTCATTTTTGAAGACATCTAAGTTTATGCGTGGAAGCGTTGTTCGTAGTTTTAGGCAAAAATTACTTTTGTAAAAGTGGTAGTTTCTCATATCGAGGAAATACCACACCACTACTTCTAGGAATCTTTTGTGTAACTTTTTTGTAACTTTCTTGGAACAACAATCTTGCCGTCATTATTGAAGTTATTTCCAGTTTGCATTTATTTTCAAGTCTTTTACAGGTTCTTTATCATATTGTTTTTTATTACTATTATTATTATTATTATTATTATTATTATTATTATTATTATTATTATTATTATTATTAGTGAAACAACCGGCTGAACAATCAACTGATAATGAAATCAATGAAGTCGCCATCAAATGTTTTTTATCCTACAAGAGGGGAAAGATAAACATCGAGAAAACCTGAGAAGGGAGAAGTCACGATATTGCGACCAAGAGATCGAGTAAGGGAGTTTGTTACGCGAGGGGAAGGTATTAGCACCCCACATGCCCGTAGTACTCTACGGTATCCACTCTTGTTGTCTGTCTTATGGGTGTGTTAGAATCTATATCTAAGTTGTACAAGGAATGCATGCAAAAGAAAAGAGAAAAGAATGTAGGGAAAATAAAAGTTGTGCTCGTTCGAGCCCTACCCCGATGCCTACGTATCCCTTTTAAGGAATCGGAGCAACCGTAGTTCGGCTTCAAAAGTTTTTTTTTGGTTTGTATTTTTTAATGAACAATATTAATTTTGCCTTCTGCCGCAACTCGACCTTTGGAGACTTACGCGTCAGCACGAAAGTTAATTAACATGTTCTTTTTGAAAAGTTTGAAAGAAAAGCCCGAAGGCGCAAAAAGAGTTTGCATTGGTTGATATTTTTTACCTTGAAGAAGGATTTGGAAGTTGTTAGATGTTTTAATATTTTTTCAAGAAAGAGAAAGTTTTTGTTTTAAATGCAAGGATGCAAACGAAAAGAAAACATCTAAGGGAGACTAGCCTAAATCTATCCCTAATGTTTACATACAATGGTGGTCCTATGGTTGAGTTTAGAAGGGAAATCTCTACCCTAAGATTGACATGCTTGGATACAATCCTAATGTCTATCTCAAATCATCATCTATAGATGAATCAAGAAGCCCTAAAGGAGCATACCAAGGGTCTATCACCTAAAACTAGGTCTATCTTGAATCATCATCTATAGTTGAATCGAGAGCTCCTAAGGGAACATGCCGAGGGTAAATCATCTCAAAACATGCACACAAAGATGAAATCAAACAAACAAGCCAATAAGCTCAAGAGAGAACACCTAGAGATATCCTATCTAGGTTAGCATGCCAAAGAAAGTCTAACAAAACTATCCTACGAGGAACGTGCAATGAGAGCGAAGTCGTGATCTCAATTTCTAAATTGAGTGACTCATCGATCAACAAGAAATAAAGGAAAGCGATAAAATCTTATAGGGAGCATGCACTGAGAGCGAAGTCGTGATCTCAATTTCTAAATTGAGTCACTCATCGATCAACAAGAAAGTAAACAAACACAAGCATAACAAGTATAACAAATGAAGTTTGGAATGCCTGCTACAGGTCTTTAAACAACGACTTCGAGCGCACGCTCTTTATTTCCTACTTCTCATGATATCTAAAAAAAATAGTAAATTACCGAAATGAGATAAACAAGGGAAAATACCAAACAAATATCAATCCGTAGAAAAAACCTATCAAAACAAAGAAACCCGATGATCTTTACGAAGCTTCACCAATCTAAGAAAGGAGTTAGAAATCAAATGCTCGGAATAAGTACCGACGCATCATCGATGTGAAAATAAATCATAATTGAAATCTCATGCGCATCTGTATATCGTATAATAAACCTGCATAAGACTCAAATCTCAACAAGCAAAGGTGAATTACCAATCTCAAATATAATCAGGTAATCGGGATTCAATTCCTAAAATCACATAAAAACTAACATAATTTTTATACTTGACTTTATTATTTTTGTCATGTAAAAGAAAAGTTCAATCAAATCCAAACAATTCGTAAAATTATTTAAAAGAAAATACTAAGAATAAATCCAAGGGGTACAACCCAATAAGCAGGAGGTGCTGTAGAAATCAGGGCGTGAAGGGAAATCAGGCGCAAGGCCCAAGCATGAGTCTAATAGTATTTTTTTATGAAGCCTTAGACTGACCAAAAAAAACTAAAAAAAGGGCTTTGAAGGAATAAAATTCGGTCCAGTTAACCATACTCACAAAACCATTAGCTTCACATTTATTTGGCCTTTTTATTATCCAACTTCCGGATTTTGTTTTATATTAATATGCTGTTGTTAAATTTTTTTAGAAAAACAAATAAGAAAATGACAAATACAAAAAAAAGGAAAAAGTAGAAAGAGGGTTAGGGTTGAGTGTTATGGCTATTCTACTCCAACGCACAAAAAAAACTCCTTCTCTTCTTCTCTCGCAAAACGGCGCCGCAACCTCCTCTATTCTCTGCTGTAAATGGACCTCTGAGACTTACCTCCGATCTTGCGCCTTCTTCAATCTCTCTCTTCTCATCACTGTCATTGTCAGCCTCATCGTTTCTCCTCACTGTCGTTCACGATTCGCCGTGATTCTTCTTCTAATGCGACTTGTGTCGCCCAATATTCTCACTCTCTACTTCGCTGAAACGACATTGCACCATCGTATCTATATCTCACTCCACCGCCCTCTCACTGCTTCAAGTAATTTTCTCCATTATTGACTCGGATCTTCATGCTTATGTTCGTCTCACGCGGATATCTCATTGCGCCTTGCTTCCATTTCAAATCATCCTCAAACCAACATATTCACAGATTCTAAATTGTGATAGCAAGAATGAAAAGAGATAAGAGTTTCGAAGGTTACCGATCGGAGACGCTCTGATGGAGTTTCAGTAATGTCGGTAGTGAGAAACTCTAGTAAGCTTTCACGATCTTTGATTCATTCTTCTTCTACCCCTTCTCAGATTCACTACTCTGCATTTGTCGTGAATTATGATGTTGCGGCGATTTGTAGAAGAATGTTAATGATGATGATTGAAGGTTGGAGTTGCTGGGGAGATTTGCAGGAAGTGATTGATGATTACCGATTGTTGGAACCTTGAGAGAAATGGTGAATGAAGCACAGTTATGCAGAATTGATGAAGATGAAGATTGAATAATTGGTGTAGAATGGCGAGGAATTGCAGAGAGAGAGTTTTTTCTGGAGCTTTCTTGTGATGATCCTCCAGAGATTGAAGAATGAAATGTGATGGTGAGTTTTTCTGTTTTCTTTTTCTGTAATATTTTTTTGTAGTTCTTCCTGAATTATGTTTGGTTGCATTTAGTATGGTTAGAAGTTGGTTAGAGTTAGTTACAGAGAAAAAAGTCTTGGATCTATTTTGACAGTTATAGGTTAATTGCAACAATTCTGTTAGTTAGAGATTGAGAGTTAGTTTTTGTTTTCTGTTAGGATAGAAACTGTTAGTTAGTAGCAGTTAGTTAGCTGTTCGGACTCTTCTGGAAGTTTCCTTTTATTCTCACAGTTCTCCTTTCTGATTTTATCTACTGTTTTATCCCTGATTTTTTTCAATTAGAAAACTCTATTAGAAAGTTGGTTGAATCTGGTATTGGAATGAGATGGCAATTCTATTTCTCCTCGTTTTTCTTATCTGCTTCCCTATCTTTTTGATTTTTCTGTTGTAGTCTTTTCTGATTTAAATATGCTGAGCTGAAAATTGATGCAAGGTCACGGTTTACCTTGTGATGTAAGTCAGTTTTGTTTGAGCACAGGGCTTGTCTGATTTTGTTTTCTAGATAACTGGCTTACTTGTGAGACTCATATGATGAATTTTCTGGTTATGCAGGTTTGCAGGGAATTAGTTTATATCCTGAAATTCGAACTGGTTTATCGAGTTTGTGCATGTTTGAAAAGTGTTGTCAAGGGTTTTGGAACTGTTTTGATTGTGAACTGGTTTTTAGTTATGCAGGGCATTTTTGGTTTAGCTGTGGATTTAATATTGAGAAGCAAGCTGGTTTTTGCTCTTAATTTTCTGATGAACTGTTTTGGCACTTATGTGTCCTTATTATGTGCGCAGGCTTCTACCTTTCATGCAGGTTTTTGTTTTGTATGATAGGTTGCAACGTTCCGCATGGGCTTTGGACAACAGGGCTATTTTTGATTTAATTTTGGATAAGGCATAAAGCAAAGCTGCAACGTGAAACCTGGACATGGAATTGAAAACTAGGAAATTAGGAACACTAGGTTTAGTGTAGATTTTTATTGTGAAATTTCCTTGTGTTTTAATGAAATGGCTTGTAAATGAGCACTTGAAATATGGATTACTAGTGTAATGGTTTGAATTTGGAAATGAATCAGGGTTGAGAAGGCTTGAATACTTGGACATGGAGTTGGAATTAGTTTAGGGATTAGAATAGATTATGATGACTTTCTTGATGTAAATGCTTTTGAGGTATTTTGTAATGAATTGCTTGAAAATCTTTGCACGATGCTTAGAAAAACTATGGTTGAATGGTCATGAACCTTTGAGTGAACATTGAACGATGAATGTTGATGTTGAACTTGAAGGACGTAAATGACAAATGATATGCGAAATTCGAATAACAATGATGAATTGTGAATGAAACAAATGATGTATGTTGAAACTTGTGACTTGTAAATTCAACTCTAAAAAATCCATACGCCTTTGCTTTCCAATCTTATTGAATTGACCTTTTTGACAATTTAATGACCAAAACAATTGATGAAATTTGATTAGTCTTGAAGCCCACTTCACTTCTCAATGAACATATCTAAATCAAGTAACACAAATCGTTTTAGTTCAAAGAAATCACACGCCCATTTCTCAATCTATAGTTTGCAATTTAAATTTCAAATGCCTTTATCTTCATGCCCCGAAATAATCTTGCATGACAAGCCACAAGCAAACGAAATTATGACCATGCTCTGATCATAAATAATTTCTTGCTTCTCATTTTGTACCAATTTCCGGGGTTTCACAATTCTTGATGACCAAAGATCACAAAGGAAACTCCCTTAGAATTCCTTGAAGATGAGGATAAGACTTGAAGTGTAGTAATGAAACCCTTTAGATGAAGATCAACTTGAGGGATGCTCAAGATATCCATGAATTCCAAACCCTAATTCTCAGAATCATTAGTTGAAATAATGCTAAGTTTACGCACCAGGGGTTCAAACCCTAATTCTCTAATCCATGCTTCAAGAAAAAACCAGAAGAATAAATACTTATTGGATATGTGCACCTCACACCAAAAGAAACCCTAGCTTGCGTGACCGCTGACCTTTTGAACTAAGGTGTTTTATTAAATGAAAATACATGATATGTTAATGACCTAATGGAATATGTGCAAATGCAATGATAAGCCTAAACCAGATAAAAGAAATTAGGAGGGAAAATTTTGGGGTGCAACAGCTGCCCCTATTTAATCGTCTTTATCCTGAAGGTGAGATTGGCGCTAGCCTTTCGAACATTTAAGGTAGAAGAAGATTAAATACTAAAAGAACCCGAAAATTTGCACTCCGAAGAACGGGTTGATTTTTTTGTGATTTTTTCTTTGGATGCCTCCACTAACAAGTTTCGGCAGGTAATGGTTCGATATTTCCGAAGGATTTCCTCAAAGGAAAAAGAAGTTATGTTACCTATCTGCCAAGGCGAACAAAAGGTGGAAGCGATGCTTAACCAAGCGTACTCACAAAAGGTGAATAAGAACTCTGCTGGAGAATAACACATCTTGTGTACAATGTATAGAACATTCATGGTGAAGATTCACGAATGAAAGACACCAGAAAAAACAAACAGAAGTTGAACAAACGTCTGTTGAGGAATTATATGTGATAATCTATAACTCGGGGCTGCAAACTCGCGATTCGAACAACAAAACGAGAACAAAATGATAACTTGGAGGTTGGAAACTCACGATTCAGAATCGTAGAAAAAATCAAATCAACAACGTAGGGGTTGGAAACTCATAATTCAGGATCAAAGAAGAAAAACGAATGAAAAACTCTCGATTCATGGATCGGAGGAGAATCAAATTGACAAACTCGCGATTCAAAGATCAAAGAAGAATCAAATTAGAAAACTCACGACTCAGAAGTCAGAGAAGAAATAGAATGACAAACTCTCGATTCAGGGATCGAAGCAGAAACAAACGACGAACTCACGATTTATGGACTAGAGGAGAAACACCTTAAAAAACTCACGATTTAGAGATCAGAGGGGAAAGAAATCAGCAAACTCACGACTCAGAAGTCAGAGAGGAAAAAAATTAATAGACTCGCGACTCAGAAGTCGGAGAGGAAACAAATTGATGGACTCGTGATTTAGGAATCAGAGGAGAAACAAATGACGAACTCACGATTTAGGGACCGGAGGAGAAACACCTTAACAGACTTATGATTCAGGGATCGGAGGGGAAAGAACACCGGGCGAAGGCGAACCTTAATGAACAAAAAGGGACACCGGTTGAAGGTAGACCTAAGACATAAAGACACCAGGCGAAGGTGAATTTGACCAAGGAGAGAGAACGCCGATTGAAGGCGAATTGGGGATAACATATACGTGTCTGGTCAGAATTAAACACATATAAGAAAGAGACCGACCAAAGTAGACTCTTAACAAAGGATGCTTGCACAAAGGTGAATCAACAAGGAAGTTAAGACAAAGGTAGACTCCTAAGAAATTGACGCCGATCAAAGGAAAACTCCATAATGAAAAGAAGACTTAACCAAAAATAAACTTTTAACAAAGAACACTGACCAAAGGCAGACTTTCTGGGGATACTAATAAACATAGACCCTGAATAGAACACCGATCGAAGGTGAAATTATAAAGAAAAGAGACCAGCCAAAGGGGACTCTAAACAAGGATTTCCAACACGCGTTGGGCTTTAAGCGATTTCAAATACGCAAGAACTACATAATCCCTCAGGCTAAAGGCGGGGTGTAATTCTTCAAGAGTGACAATTATCTAAATTACCACACACCAAGTATGGATACTTAAATACCTGAGAAGCAAGAAAGGCTATACACCAACTCTTACTCGCACTCTAATCTCAAAGGTAAACACGAGAAAAGATACTGCAACAAGAGTTTTCAAAAAGCAAGACGCTCGGTAAATGAATTGGATTATGGATTTGTGGGAAACAGACACAAGGTCAAGAATGCTTGCAGATAGCAACACCAGAATATATGTCTTGAGGAAAACCTATGGAGAATACCATTTTGGATTTCTGATTGATAGAATCTCTTCGGATATACAAGGAGTGTCTGAAAAAGACTTTAATCTGGCTTATGCTTCAATGCATGTTTGAGATTTTTTATTTTTAGTGTAATGCTCCCAAATCAATGGAAATGTTACGCGCTTTCAGAAGATGCAATGCAATAATGATTACTATATGCAAGGTACCGAAGCGAGGATATCTGTTGGGAACCCAAAGGATAGAATCCCATCTTCTAACTTCTGCTGAAGAAAACGCACAACTTGGAATTTAATATTGATCTCAGCAGAGGATAACAATCCTAATCTGAGTTGGAGATAATAGTCCTTTACTTCTTCCGAAGAATGCCAACAACCCAAACTTAGGTCTCTGGCTTTTGATGGTGGAACACCAATACATGGATTTACATCCATGACGAGCTGAGGACAACGATCTTGACTTGCCACTCTTCAAATTCATAAGTTGTTTAGCCTGCGACTGGACTTAACCTGATCAACTCTGAAGTGGAGGAACACCCCTGCATAATGCCTTGCCCCAGTGTGTAGGGCTAAAAAAATTGCCTCAAAAGGACTTTCTAAGATCTGTACCATTAAGATAGACAACCCCAATATTGTGAACTTTGAAACACTGCCCCTGACTAACCAAAGTTGGATATGGTTTCAACCATGCTTGGGCAAGTGCCCCTGATTACTCAGCACTTTGAGAGATTCTTCAAAACCTTGGTGTAACTGCCCCAATTTGAATGTACTTTGAGGGATTCTTCAAATCTTGGCGTAACTGCCCCAGTTTAAATGTAATTTGAGTGATTCTTCAAATCTTGGCGTAACTGCCCCAGTTTGAATGTACTTTGATGGATTCTTCAAATCTCGGAATAAGTGCCTCAGATTGGCTGAACACTTACCCAACATAGTATTCAACATGCTTGCCTCTGCTCAACAGAGTCTTGACAAACCTTTTCTTCATCTCATGCTCACGGAGAAATGAGAAGCTTAAGGATTTTCAAAGACAACATAACCTTAGAGTGGATGGCTTACATCTTGAAAGTAGGTTACCCCACAACCATACTTCTCTACTTGAGCTTCTTCGTTTTCCAATCAGATACTTGAAGACAATACGTCCCTTAGGACCAACTGAAAGTAGTGCATTATTGCTCCATGGAGACGTCTGGACAATCACTTTTGCAATTTGCTTCAGATCATTTCTTAAACTGGTGTTCCTTTTACTCAATAGAGTCAATAGAAGGTCTTCCCCAGATTAAGATCATTCTCATAAATGACTTGCGCTTCAACACATCCTTGAAGTAATTTATCCCTTGAGATAATCAAACTTCCATATGATGCTCATTATGCAAGCTCACTTGATGTTTAAACACTTGTTCATATGCAAAGAATATTTATTCTAAGAATGATAGTTCTAATGCAAAGCCCATGCTTGTCTTGAAGTTTAAAAACTTTTATTGAAAAGATGTCAAAACATCAAATTTTCTTGTACAAAAGAAAGTAAAAAAGATGGTGTGATACCAACTCAAACGTCTTAGCAAGCCTCCTAGGAGTCATATTAGCGTATTCTTATTACAGTACGCTTTCGAATTAACCCATACTTTATTTAGGACTTTTCAGGGTTGTAACGTGGCCTGGTTCACAGTTTTATAAAAAAGGATTTAAGGATCAAAATATTTGGTGCCCACCCATTCTCCGTGATATTCTTCAGGCCTATATTCAATTAATTTGATACGAGCACTCATCTCTCAAGAAGAGTTTACAATGATTGAGGAATCAAACGAGGATTTTTTTTCCGGATATGGCGGTCACTCACCTCTTTCATTTTTGGTGTCTAATCACACGACTTATTTCCTTGCTGAGGATTTTTATTTAGTAATTCCTTTTTTTATTTTCGCGCTTTTCGCTTTCTTTTTGTTTCCCCTCACTTTTGCCTGGAAAAAT